AGGTCAAAAAATGAGACTGGAGTTTGAGGTAAAGAATTACACTAGATTTGGCAAGAATCAAGACCACTCCTAGTAATTGAAAAGAAACAAGGGTTACTCACGGGGAATAAGGGTGGGTCCTGGGGGCAATAGAGCGCTGGCTTCCTCCCTGCAACACTTCTTGTGGTGACATCATCACAAAGAACTGACCTGCAAAGATGCAGGGTAGCTTCTCTCAGGATGTGGGATGAGGAACCTCACCAAGCTCTAAGACCAAGGTCCTGGGACCCTCCTCTAAAAAGGACATACTTCCTCCTGCTGGAAGGGCAGCCCCAGACTCACTGCCTGTCCAGGTCTTTAGTGATCATTAATGGATCATAAGTAAAGGCCCACTGCCCACCAGCCATGTCCCACAGCCTATCCTAGCCCCTCCAGCCAGCATCCTCACACAATATCTCACCAGTGCCAGGAGGGGTCGCCTGCCCCAGTAGTGCCTCTGAGCCCTGGGTAGTAACAACAGCTGCTGTACTCCCCGATGTGGTACCCCCTGCCCCATCTCCCACTGCAGTGCTGGGGAAGTAAGTATAGTGCGTCTCAGCAGCTGTCCCCTCTGTGTCAACTGCATCATCACTCGTGAACGCACCCTGGATCACGGCCTGGGAAGGGGAGCAAGAGAACAGAGTCTAGTGACAGTCAGATACTTCCCAGTGAACTACTCTGCAGCTTCTATCCCTTGGGAGGAAAAAGAAACATCCAGAAAGGGAGAGCCTCACCAGCCCTAGCCACACCCCCATCCTATTGGTTCCCTACAACCCAGAGCTCTAGTCCCCTCCCTAGCCCATAGCCCTGTACCTGGGTCATGGATTGAGTGGCAGGGTAGCCACTGATGGCACCAGTCCCCTCAGTCTGGCCATCCAGCTGCCCCTCGGACACCTGGATCACCCTGTACATCACCTAGAGGCAGGGAGAAAAGAGGAAGGAAAGGAAGAGAAAATAAGAGAGTAAGTGCAAGAGATACCAGGGCACCTCATAAAGCTTCTCTTGGATAAGGGTCCCAAACAAGAATCCTTCAGAGACATAGATTCAGCCATTCTCCCTCCTTTCCCCATAGAGAGGTTTCAGCATAGTCCCTACCCACACATAACCAAACCTTCTACTCCAACCCCCACCCTCCAAATAGTCCACATCATCTGCCAAACCAGGTCTCCCCATGACAGGTTCAGTTACCTCCCACAATCCCAACCCCAGGTAACACCTGCAGCCACCTGGCCCCCTCCCTTACCTGGCCCCCATTCTCAGTTCGGAAGACGTACTTGACGTTGGGGTCAGGGAAAGTGGCAGCTGACTGGATGCTGGCAATAGCCACACTGGTTGGGTCTTCCCCAGTTGCCACTGCACCTGAATTAGGAAAAGTCTGTTACTGCCTTTCTCCCTCTGCTCCACCTGCATGTTATTTAAAAAAAGAAGGGTACGCAGGAGATGGACCCATAGGGGAGAGGAAGAGGCCACAATGGGCTCTTGGTCTCAGCTCAGTTCTGTTTCTCCCACTCACCTTCCTGAATCTGTACTGTCCCCTCTTCCGTTTCAGCTGTTTTCTGCTGTCTGTGAAGGAACGAAAGGAAGAAGGGAAGAAGTGAATGAAAATGTCTTCCAAACTCACTGGCATTCCCAACAGAAGGCTAGGTTAGGTTAGGTTAGAGTAACAGGAGCTAGTATTTACTTAGCACTGAGCTAAACACTTACCAAGTACTCTCTTATTTAATTATAAGAACAGCTCTAATGAAGTAGGTAGCACTACTTGCATTTTACAAACAGGAAACCAAATCACACAGCTAGTAGGTGATGGAGCTGGGACCTAAATCTAGGTCTGCCTGACTCCAGAGCCAGTGCTCTTAGCCATTCTGCATTCTCCCAGACCTCCCATCTCCCATCCCAGACCCAATCTCTTCTTTACTCACCCCTTCATCTCTCTGTGAGGGGGCGCATCCGAGGAAATGGTCCTTCTTTGGAAGTCTTTGTATCTCCTGCCTCACAGGCCTGAGTGCTATGTCCTGGTAGAAATCAGGGAGTCTGCAGTGAGTCTAGGAAACTGAAAGTGCTCTGTTTCTAGAAGCTAGGCTACTGAAGACACAACCAGGAACATAACCCAGTCATCTTTAGGGGACTATCAGCTTTTTCCATTCTGATGCTGAGGACTGGGCTCCAATGATTGAAAAAGCAACTCTACCAACAGTGTTCTTCACCCCTCCAGTTATCATTCCAACTCCTGGTTGGAGGGGATAACTATACTGAAACACTGAGAAGCAACATATTTCTGAATGGATGACTATTAAAGCTATTATGATCTGCCATGACATAGGGAACGGCCATGTTTAGACCATAGCTGTCAAAAAACACAGGGCCATGGATGCTAACACTTTTTCCAGCTTCTCAGCCACACATTGCACACCAAGAAATTCCTGTTCTCAAATCTAGGAAAGGAAAACCTGAAACCCACTGGAAAACCTCCGGAACCACAAAGACCAGACTCGGCCCTTAGGCCCCATTCTACTGACAGAGCTCCTGTTTTGGGGAGTCCAGATTTATGTCGTTCGTTAAAGACCCTAAAACCCAAGTGTATCATCTTCAAGCCCCTTGTATTTTATTGACCAAGCCTTCCTGTAAAATAACAGTTGCTAAAATGTTGCCATGACAACTCCAAACCAACTGAGCCTCAGCAAGAAGGGAAAAAACTCCAGGTTCAGGGTTCAGAAGAAGAGACAACGGGAGATGAATCCATCTATGAGGTGCCTGCCTTAAGACCTTGACACCCTGCGGGGGTTGGGGGGGCAGGGGCAGGATAAACAAAGGGCTGAGCAGACAGATGCCTACAGAAAGAAACAGCTACACAGTACAAAGCAATAAAATAATCCAGATAGGAAAGAGGTAAAATTTTTGTAAATTCTCTACCCATAAGATCCCCCAAAACCTTTCCTGTCCAAGTAAGGTCTTCAGCGGAGGAGCCCTGGAAAGTCCGTATCCGAAGTGTCAACCAATTGAAAAAAAAAAAAAAGGAAAAACTGAAAATGAAACTGTCTGGAGGAAGAAGCGCTGCAAGAAGATCCCAGTCCCTAAGGGGAAGTAGGACCAGTGTTTCGAGACCACCTACCTCTCCATCCTCAAACCTGCAGAGGAAGTGCCCCTCCGAGGCTTGCTGCGCTGACAGCAACAAGGAAGCAACACAGCGCAAGAGGTGTCTCTATGACCCACAGCTGTCAGCCAGGGGCAGCCTCTGAGGACACCCAGCAACGGTGTCAGGCTACTTATTCAAATCTTAGTTGGACATCCGGAAGCATTTCCTGAGCATCAGGAATAGGAGACACGGAAAGCAGGATAGGAATGTTGTGGCGTGCATGCTCAGGGAACGAGGGCCCTGCAAGAGCCCCGGCAAAGTCCGGACACAAAGGGAAAAATAACCAGGTCCCGCAAGAAGTCAGGCGCCTAGAGCTTGCCTGAGAATGCGACGTCTCTCTGCAGGCCCACCAACCAGTAGGCGCTTAGGAGGTGAGCGCCGGCCAGGCGCGAGCCCAGGAGCCCGCACCGTGACCCAGCCAGATCCGCTGGGCTCAGCCCGCGCCGCCGGTACTCCGCAAAGGCAGGAAAGGATGCCGGGGGTTCAGCGGACCCCGCGGTTCCCGGCCCCGCGGCCCGCGGCTGGCAGCGCAGGAGGGCGGGGACGTGCGCACCCGGGGGCGGGGAGTGAGTTCGGGCCACAAAAGGGGGTAGGAGATAAAGAACCAGGCACGGCCCCCTCCCTCAAAACAAAGGCTTCCGCCCCAGGAGTTCCTTAACCTAAAAAACGGAAACAAAATCGAGGCTACCCTGCCTCTCAGGCCCACCTAGTCTCCAGCCCCCAGATTCCCGCCCGGTCCCGCACTCACCGGCCAAGGGCGCCGCAGCCGCAGATTTCCCCCGACTGTGCTCTCCCTCTCCAGACTTGGGTAGCTCCATGGACAGCTGCTCATGCGCACTCCCCACCCGCGGCCATGGTGCTGCGGGGCGGAATTGTCTCACTCGACCCGCCCAGCCTACTCAGCCTCTGAGCCGCCCCACTTCCGTCTGCTCCATCTTGATGAGGGCTGAGGGATTCGCGTGTGATGAGGCTGTCGCTAGAGCCGAGAAAAAGTAACGTCTGGGGACCCCGGGAGAATGACGCCGAAGACCTAGTCGCTTTAGGCAAGAACGGGAGAAAGACGACTGACTTGTTGCTGCCAACTTTCTGCGGACACGGCTTTTTAAGTTCCAGGCAAAGGGAGTGAGAGAGGCCAGTTTAGAGCAAGCAAGGGACGTCGTGTGGAGGCTCCATCTTTAACAAGGGCTTTTTTTGGAAGCCATCTTGGGTCAGGACTCCTTTTTAAAGTTTACTGCTGAAGATTAAGATGTATCTGGGCATACATAGAGCTGGATATACTTGTATTAATGTCAGCCGTCACCCAAATACCCCGAAGGCTTCCAGTTTTTGTGAGGCTCAGGGTTTCTGTGAGAGGTCTGATTCCCATTCTTTTCAGCCCGGACCTACCCTTAATGGGTCTGTTGTAATGTGATGTAGTGAGACTAGTTTAGACGCTGGAGCTAGACAAACTCGGGTTTCAGACCTACCTCTGCCACATCTTAGCTGTAAGAACCTTGGCAAACATCTTGACTTAATGAGGCTTAGTTTCCTCATCTGTAAAATGAAGATACCAGTACCAACCTTATTGAATTGTTAAGTGAACTAAATAAAATCAAGAGCATAGATTCTGTGCGCACATAAAATACCTAGCCTTTCCTGGCAGATAATGAGCATTATGTAAATATGTTTCTCTTCCTCATTTCCTGACCGCTATGAACCCAGCTCTAGTTTCAAGTCACAGGTCTCCATGACAACAATTGGGGAAGAGCACCCAAACAATAAAAGCAAAAGAAAGACAACCTTTGGCTAAACATGAAAGTATGATACCTATCACCCAAGACTTCAACAAGAATAATGAGACTCCACATTATTTATGTGTAAAAATACAATTTTTATTCTGAGACATCACCCCCTGGGACCTGTGGCCCCAGGCTGTCCAGAGAAGCAGTCCCAGGGCTTGAATATTGCCAGTCCCCTTCCCTGAAACAGGAAGTTATTCCATAGGAGAAAGGAGAGGCCAAAGAGATCTATACAAGACCTTTTTCTTTAAGATACAGGGAAGCAGAGGGTGGGGTAGCTGGGAAGGGAGCCAGCCCCTCTAGCAAGTACTGAGGCCTTGAAAGAGCTTCTTGGACATGTTCCTCCTAATCGAGTTAAGAGGATCAAGAGGTGTCCAAGGGCTCAAGAGTAGAGCAAGGATGGGTAACTCTACAAGTGTTTGTGTGTAATAGGCTCTGAACTGGCCCTGTCCCCCACCTCTACCCTGGACTTCCACGATGAAGAGTTCATTGCCTCAGAGGAGGGCAGGAACTTGGCTGGAGTTCCTCTTCATTCTTCAGTTTGAGAAAACTTATTTTCCACCTATTCTTTGTTCCATTTGTCCAATGACCCCATTCTGTGGGAACAGGATCTTGGAGACTTTCTTTGGAATCTCCTAAGGGTTAAGTGCTTTGTGTCTGAGACAAGCTCAGGTAAACCAACAGAGACAGTGCCTTCCACAGTCAAAAAGAGAAGCTGGAGGGCCAAAACCTATAGAGTTGGGCACTATAGCTGCTCAGGCTGCAGAAGAGACAGCTAGTCCAAGACCCCAGAGATTCAAGACAACTAGTGTCCCTTTTGCCCAGAGCTCAGGTCCTAATCACAGTCCCTCACCTTTACCAGGGTTAGCCTGTGTTTCAAATGCATATGAACGGCGCTGGGGAGGCACAAGGGGGTCAGGGGGCTGGGGTTCTCTGGGGGGTAGACTAAGCCGACTCCGGGGTCCAGACCCTTCTGTGCTTTCATCTGGTAGCTCCAGGCAGCTGAGAGGCCGAGGACAATGGGCAGGGATCATGCTATAGGGGGAGGTTTGGGGGATAAGGCTGTAGTCTCCTCCCCCAGTGCAGGTCTGGGTCCGCCGAACTCCCTGAACTTGAGTCCTCTGGCGGTCCCGGGCCAGGGCCACAGCAGCATCAAAAGAAAGACTACCCCCATTCCTCCAAGCAGAGCGGGAGGCTCGGGACCCTGTTCCCCAGGCCCTTTCCCCAGGAGTCCCATCAAGCCGACCAGGCTTCGGGCATGGGTTTGCTGGTGCCACATGGATCTTGCCACACATTGCACTGGGCATCTTGGCAAACTGTGGTTTGGGGGGCACCACAGGCACAGAGCGTACCTGTTGGACCTGAACCAAGGTGGAAGCCAGTCGCATGCCTACACCAGCAGCTGAGCCAAGGGGACTGGGCTGCCCCTCAGGCTCCATCTCCTCTGGCCGGGGTGGCTGTGGAGCTGCCTGTTCTGTCGCAGAGGACTGGGCATTGCCCTCTTTGGCACTGTCAACCTCCAGGGACTCTACATGTGACCCTTCAGGGAGGGAATCCTCTTCTAAATTGTCACCTCCAGCCCTCTGGTCTCCCTCAGCTTCTCCATCTCCACTTTCCTGTTCCTTGCTGACCTCCCCTGCTCCTCCTTCAGCTGCTGCTTCTGGGATTCTGCTATCTTCACCATCTCCTTGGTCTTCTCTTTCTTCTTGGTCTTCAATCCCCCTCTGTCCTTTTACCTCATCTTCTCTGCCTCCTTCAGCCTCTTGTTTGTGTACAACTTCCCAGCCCTCCTCAACAGTTTGATTTTCCTGGGCCCCATGCTCTGGGTCCCTTCCAGCTTCTACCTGGGTTTCATCTCCTTCTTCATCCTCTTCCTCTCTCTCAGTCTTTCTTTCCTTTTCCTTGTCTTTACCCTGCGTTCCTCTTGTTTCCTCCACACCTGTAGCTTCCTCCAAACTCTCGTCCTCCTGTTGACCTTTGGACTCCTCTCCCTTGACCTCTGTCTCCTCTGTCTCTTCCCCGCTTCCTTCTCTCAAACCAACAACCACCTTTTGGCTTCCCTCAGCCTCCCCTCCTTCCTCACTGGCCTCTCCACCCTCCACTTTGCTCTCTGGACTCCCCTCAACCTCCTCTCTGAGGTCGCATCTGCTTCCAGGCTCAGCCTCCTTGTCCTCCCCAACTTCCCAGAATGCCGGCTCTCCCTCAGACTCTCCTGGAGCCTCCTGTCTTCTGCATTCTGCTGCCTTTTCCTCTAGGTTGCCTGGACCCTCCCAGGGTGGGGGTTTGGGCCCCAGAAGGGGACTTAGGTCATCATAGGCACTCAGGAAGACTTCCTCGCCACTTTCCTCATCTGCTTCAGGCTTGGGGCCAGGGGAGTCCAGAGAACAGCAGCTGGGAGCCAGGACAAACTGCGCCTCATCCAGAGACAGGTCATCCAGGGGTGGCTCCACAGAGAACTCCTCCACCTGTAAGCACAGCATTGTGGCTCAGGACCAGGTGGCCCTGTCCACCCTCCAGATTCTTTACCACCCCCAAACCCAGCACAGTGCCTCCTTACCTGAGGCCCAACTCCCAGGAGCTCCTCCAGGTAGCCCATCCCAGGGTCGTCCTCCCCAGGGGAGAAAGCTGCTCCTGCTGGTCCTGCCTTGGCCACCTCCCCATCCTCCACCCCCACCCACTCGGGCTCTGAGCCGCTTGAGTCCTCTAGGAAGGAGAAGGAATCCTGCACCTCCTGGGACAGGCAGTCCTCCAGGGCAGGGGCCATGTCCACTGGGCCTGAGTCAGCCAGGGGACCTGGGGCTGGACTTTCCTCCGACTTCTCATCTGTTGGGAGAGAGAGAGTCCCAGGATACAAAGGTCAGGACCAGCCCTGACCTTTGCAATGTGTCTTCCTAGCATTGCTAGTATAGGCCCAGTATTGCCAGCATAGATACTCCATGTAGCTGATTGTCTCAGACCAATATCCCTAACTACTGGCCTATAGTCACCTTTATTGAGCTCCTCCCAGGTGCCAAGCACTGTGCTATACATTTTATAATGCATTATCTTCTTTCCTCCACAAAACAACCCTAAAATGTAGGTTATTTATCCTCATTTTACACATGAGGAAACTGAGACTTAGATTTGTCCGAGGTCACGCAAATAAGTGGCACAGCCAAAATCTGAATCCAAGTCTACTTAACTCTATAGCTGTACCCACTATCCTATGCTGCCTCAGTACTCCTCATCAGTGGCACTTCAGGAACTGGAGTCAGAGCAGAGATCAGATTCCAACTCTGCCATCTCCTACCAGGTTGCTTAACCTAAGTCTCAGGTTGCACTACTGTAACATAAGGATAACAAAAAAACCTATGATAAGATTATGAGAAAATGAAATGAGCTAATGCCTGCAAAGTCCATAACAAAGCACACAGTAAGCTCTCTACAAATGTTAGCTATTAGTATTAATGCTAGTGTGACTATTACTACTATCTATTATATATTCCCACCTTGTACTTAGCAATCCCTGCTGTGTATATATCTGACACAGGTCCTCATTCTTGGATATATCAGTGATCTGAAGGCTGCCAGAGATCCTCTCTCCATGAATTTCACACAACCTGATAATATTATTGGATTCCCTCAACCTAAAATCCCAGGAGGCAGCTGAAGGTAACCACCCAAAGCCCAAGGGCTGAGGCTTGTGCCCTTCCCAGGGCAGATCCTCAGCATCAGAGCCTCAGCCTAGAGCTCTAGTCCCCTCTCCCAGTCCTGGGAAATCCCTGGGTCCTCACCTGGGGGACCAGGGCCAGAGGCAGGGCTTGGCCGGGGCTGTAGGGCAGGATACTCAAGGCTGCGGGTGAAGCCAGCCAAGGAGATGTGAGAGATGTTTGGGGGTATTTTGAGAATACATTTGATGTGTGATGGGAGGTTGACAGCATACGGCTCTGAGATGTGGACGCCAGCACGACGCTCTGCATGGCTGCTGCCCCCAGCACGGACTGCTGACCGCCCAGCTCGTGGTGTGCCTGGCTCAGAGCTGGTGCCACCCCGTGCCTCTGCCTCAGGCTCCTGTTCACCCTCTACTCCTTCCACAGAATCATTCTCCAAGTTCTCCGGCAGCAGTGGGCTTGGCCGAGGGCTGCTGGGTCCCACCAGCCCCTCTGGTTCTGTGGAGGAGAGAGAGGTAGGAATAGCCTAAGCTGCAAGAGGCCTGGACACCTCGGAAAGGCTCTAGAGAGTGTTTTCTGTTTTCTCTAGCTTGGAAGGCACCAGGCCCAGCTTCCCTTAGCCACTACTGCAAATCCATCACAGTCAGCAGGTCAAAGGTCATGCCATCAAAGATACTTAGGAACCACCCTCCCTCCCTGCAGATACAGTCACCGGCCATCACTACCCCAGTGCACACACACACAGAGGTACACACCTATACTCACCATCACTGACCCCGGCCACAGCACTCAGTGAGTCCATGCTCTTGGCTGGCCGCAGAGTCCCCTTATCAGATTTGTCCTCTGCAAGACAGGGATGTGTGTAGAGCCAGGGCCTGGCACACCCTCAGCAGAGCTCCCCCTAGATTTCCCCAGACTTACCCCTATCCTCAGTCCCCCGTGGGAGTTTACGCTTGGTCTCATGGCCAGAGCGACCCAGATTGAAGATAGATCTCCACTTCCTGACCTTCAGAGACCCCTTCCTCCTGGACAGAATGGAGAAAACTTTGGGGTTGGAGCCTGATGATCATTGCAAGGGAGGAGGGCCCAGGAAGGAGGCCTTACTTGTGCTCTGCAATCTCTATGATAGTGTGATAGGGCCGAATCTGTGGGGGTCCATCGCCAGCCTGTAGGATGCTAGGCAGGTGGTAGGGCAGAGACCTGGGCATAAGGTCCTCGGGGCTGCCCAACACCCGGGTTCCAGGAAGTGATCGACATCCACTCTCCACTTCACCACCTAGAAAAAGAAGAGGAGTTGGACAGCCAGGAACAGAGATGGGGGAGGGATCTGGGTACCACCTTCTCACTGCACTCTCCCACTCACCAACTACCAGGCTAGGGATATACTCAGAGGCCTCTAGAGACAGATCGTCTGTGTCTAGCTCCTCAAGAAGGAGTCCTCGGGGACAAAGAGGTCCAGGAGATCCCAGGACATTGGCCCAGAAGGCTGAGGGTGGGAATGATCAGTCACTAACCTTGAGAACCAGGACAGTGATTAAGATGTCAGGCTATGGCCTGGACTGAGAGCATCAGAGGCCTGCTCGAGTCCTGACTACAGCATTATCTCTCCAAGGTTGTCTCCATGTGATCATGAAAAACATCTTTATGAGACTCATTTCAATCATGTGCAAAGCAGAAAGTCTGAACTAACTGATCTTGGAGGCCCTCTATAACTCTGACATGACTCCCCAGACAAAGAGTGTGATATGGTGGATGGGAAGGACACTGACCAGAGAGAGCAGCACCCCCAAAGAGCTGGTCCACATGTGTGAGGATGAACTCGACGACGATGGACTGCACGCGCACCTCCATGAAGGCGGCTGTCCCATTGAAGCCTGAGGCCTCTATGTCCTTAGACCTATGGAGATGTGGAGTTATTCCCCTCCCAGCCCCATTTCTCCCTAAGAATACCATAAACCCTTTCCCCTGCATGCCATTAACCTCATCCCCACCTCTTAATCTACAGTCATGATTCAAATACCACTTCCTCCAAGCACCCTTCTTGGACACCCTCTTCAGGATTAATCTCTACCTCCTCTGCACACCAGGGTGCCTTGTGTATAATGAATTGCAGGACTTCTCATAGCCTGGCCTGTACCAAAAGAAGTGATATGGAGGCACTTCTCCAATAGAATGCAAGACACTTGTTCAACAAACATTTGACAAGGACCTGCCCTGCTCCAGTCCCTGAGCTCAGTGATATGGTGTAAGAAAACACAAAGGCCCTGCCCTTAGGGACTTCAGTCAAGTTCAGAGACGGGGCTCACATGGGTGAGCTCCAGCCCACTCAATGTAATCAGGAGCCTTCCCATTCTCACTGGGTTCCATGAGACCCCCCTCCAGTGCACCCACATAGCCACACCCCACCTTCAGCAGCCTCCCAGGGGTGAGGCTCTGCCAGGATCCCCACACCCTGCTCACACACCACCCACCTCAGCAGGTTAGGGGCCCACACGATGGCCAGGTTGCGGGCATGCATGTTGGTCTGGGCACTGAATGAGGCCATGTGCACCAAGTGCCGCATGAGGAACTCCAGCGTCCTGCAGAAAGGGGGCATCGTGGGGCAGAGCTCACACAGGGAACCCTCAGGGCAGGGGTAGGTTTGAGGCCGGGGAGCAGGAAGAGCAGTGACAAGTCAAAGCCTGGGCTGAGTGGAGGGAGTCAGGACCCTGGGTGGGGAGGAGCTCCACACACCTGTAGTTTGGGACAGGGAGTTCTCGAAGCACCTCTAGGATCTTGACCAAGCGCTCAGGTTCCAATTGCACTGCCACAGCCTCCTGATTGGGAGGAAGGGTTCAAGAAGCAGCGGTCAGTGACCAGCACCGCCCCTGCTTACTCCCCAGAGCTCTGAGCCAAACTCTCAGAAACAATCTGTGCGGGTCCCAGTGCCATCCCCCACTCTGGATGCACACTGACACAGCAGACAGAATTTGGGGCCCACAAGACCTGCAGCTGAATCTTGGCTATGCCACTTAATAGCTTTGTGACGTTAGGCAACTCATTACCTTAGCATCCTCATCAGTAATGCTCTGGTACTGGAATACATCAGTGGTTCATCCTGTGAGTGCCCCAGGGGCCATGAAATTATTCCAAGATATCCAGGAAGGCCTCTGCCCACCCGGCCTGGCCTGTGCGGGCTGAATGTTGTCTGCTCCTGTTCAGGATCTCTAAATGACGTTGTGCTCAATAAAATGCAACATAAAAGTGTTCCTCAATTCAAGATGGCATTTTTGGCCATGAGTTTTCTTATTCAAAAGATGTTCAACACACAATCATAGTTCATGGAGGGCCATGCTTAAGAAAATTTTTGACTTCCTAAAAGAGTTCTCATTCTCTTAAATGTAGGGAAGTTCTGGTCTAGGTGATTTCCAAGGGCTTTCCAGCTTCTATTCTGTCTGGCCTCTACTCTCCCCAAGTCTCACCCCTGCCATGTGTGGTCTGCAGGGATAATGAAGAGAAGAGGGACAGGGGAGGGCAGAGGTAGCAGGGTTAGGAGGTCTGTAGGGGAGAGGTCTTTTCACGTCCACATCATCTCTGTCATTCAGGATTCATAGTACTCTATCTGGCACTGGACACACCTGGAATGTCAAAACCAGAGCAACCACCCTCAGCCTTCTCTTCCACCCCTCTGCTTCTCAACTCACAGCAAATTTGTCATAGAGCCGGTAAGTGAGCAGGGGGTCAGGCAGTTCTCTGAAATAGGCCTTGCACAAGGAGGAGACGCAGTGAATGTCCTGAAGGTAAACATCTCGCCGCAGGTCTGGCTTCCGTTCAGCCTCAAACTCCTGCCTGGGAAGGTGCAGAGTGGTCAGGAGTGGTGGGGTATCTGGGAGAATGTAAGGATGGGGGAGCTATAGGGTTGAGGGTCAGCTTGTACGAAACTTAGAAGGAAGAGGTTGGGGCATATATATACACGAGGCACCAATTATAAGGCATTGTATCTATCAACATGCAGAGTGGATGAGAAATGGGTAAGTGGGTAGGTAAGAGGATCTATGCGTGAACAGGGGTATATGTCAAGGCGGTAGCTGTAGGCGTGAGTAAAAATGTAGGGCTGTGTAGGAGTCAGGAAGTCGGGGGATGAGCCTAGATGTGTGTTTCTGGATATATATAAAAACCAATAAGTGTAGGTCTTAGAAGCAAACGTTAAGTGTAAATCTTCATCACCTCAGATTAGGCAACAGTTTCTTGGGTATGACACCAAAAGCATAAGCAACCAAACTAAAAATAGATAAATTTAATATCAAACCTACAAATTATTGTGTATCAAAGGACACTATCAAGAAAATGAAGACAAACCACAGAATGGGAGACCATATTTACAAATCATAGATTTGATAGGTGTCTAATACCCAGAATATATAAAGAATTCTTACCACTCAAAGGAAACAAACAGCCTAATTTTAAAATGAGCAAAGATTTGGGGAAGGGAGTAGGTATAGCTCAGTAATAGAGCATGTGCTTAGCACTCACGAGGTCCTGGGTTCAATCCCTAGTACCTCCATTTTAATGGTAAAATAAAATGAGCAAAGGTTTTGAATAGATATTTCTCCAAAGAAGATGTTCGACATCATTAGCTATCAAGGAAATGCAAATATGGATGCAATATCACTTCACACCCATTAGGGTGGCTATAATCAAAAAGACACAAAGTAACAAGTGTTAGCAGGGATGTGGAGAAATTGGAACCCTCATACACTGCTGGTGGGAATATAAAATGATGCAACTGCTATGAAAAAGAGTTTGGCAGTTTTTTAAAAAGTTCATCATAGAGTTACCATATGACCCAGTAATTCCACTCCTAGGTATATACTCAAGAGAATTGAAACCATTTGTCCATACAAATATTTGTATATGAATGTTTATAGCAGCATTATTAATAACAGCCAGAAGATAGAAACAACCCAAATAGCCATCACCTGGTGAATGGAGAAACAAAATGTGGTAATAAGGACACACAATGGAATATTATTCAGCCATAAAAATAGATGAATACCAGTACTCACAACATGAGTGAACCTTGAAAATATGCTAAGTGAATAAAGCCAGGCATAGAAGATTATAATTATATGATTCCATTTATTTGAAATGTCCAGAATAGACAAATCCATGGAGACAGAAAGTAGACTAGTAGCTGCCAGGGGCTGGGGAAGAGAAATGTGGAGTGACTGGTAATGGGTACAGGGGTTCTTTGGGGGTTGATGAAATGTTCTGAAATTAGATAGTGGTGGTAGTTGCACAACCTTGCAAATATACTAAAAACGAATTTAAATGGTACATTTGGGGGTAATATTTATTTCTTTTATTTATGTATTATCATTATTATTTTTTACTTAATGGAGGTACTAAGGATTGAACCCATGACCTCGTGCATGCTAAGCAAGCACTCTACCACTGAACTATACCCTCTCCCCCTTAAATGGTACATTTTTAAATGATAAATTTTATGGCAAGTGAATTATATCTGATTTTTTTTAAAGCTGGGTGGGTGCATATGAGAGTGGAGATGTGTGTTTTTGTGTGTGTGCACGCACACACACGTGCATGCATGCATGCATGCTAGCCTGCGGGGAGTGCAGAGCATGGTCTCAACCTTTCCTAAGGAGGCAAGAGCTCCTCCCTTGGACAGTATCTAGCATGTATGTTTCCTTCTCCTCACATCCTCTCCCCCTCTGGCTCCCTGGGGGCAACCAAGTCCTCCCCTCACTGCCTGACTCACCGGAGCTTCTGGATGTTGGAAGAGACCCCTGAGAGGCGGTAGATCCCGTCCACCACTCCATACTCCTCCACAAACTCGGCACAGCTCCTTAGCACCTGGGGCACTGGGGATACAGATCGGGCAGAGAAAGAGAAATCAGAAGGTCTGGGAGATCAGAGACTCTAGGGGATCTGAGAAGTGGACACATCAGGGATGAGGGTTTGGGGAGATTAAAGACAAAGCTCATGGAACAAAACCTTGTCACAAAGAGTCTTACAGGACATCAGCTCCCATCTGCCAACCTGGTACATTCTCTCTGCCCTTTGGGTCTAGAGTCTCAGCATAAATCCCCACGGTGTGGGGGAGCTCACTGCCTCTCCAGACTGCCCTTTCCCATTAGAAAGTTCTGCCTGTGTTGGCCTGAAGTTTGTCTCTCTGGAATTACTAGTTGCTACAGCAGAAATGTTTAAAGGGGCAGCAATCTGCTTGGAAGAGGACTCGGGGTAAAGGACTGGTCTTAAAGGTGTGTTTATGTAACACTGTACATAAGGTAAAGGAATATTCACTGTTCCGACCAACCATAATGGAACAGAGCTGATGGGCATTACGGTTAAGCACCTCGCCCGCTGGTAAGTGAGGGCACAGATGTTAGATCTATCATAGGAAGGTACTCAGAATTGTGACAGGCCTTCAAACAGGTCAGTTCAGGAGAGAAGTGCCTTTGTGCCAAGCACTGCGCATGAGACAAAAAAAACTGAGGATCAAAGATAATGAGTGTTCAGTACCACTCAGCTAGAAACAGGATTCAAATCAAAGATGCAAAAAGCAGTATTATCTCTCCCTTCCTCAGACCCTCTCCAGTTACTAGACTGTAAGCTCCTTAAGGACAAGACCTAAGTGTGACCCATCTTGCTTTTCCTCATATTATCTGTTATGGTGTCTCAGTCATGGGAAATCCTCAGAAACCATGTATTGAATCTCATCTCCACAAGGTCACATAGTTATCTTTCTAAAGCACTTCCATGACTTAAATCCTTTGCTACATACACACTCTGCTCCACCCCCATCTTCAATGCTTATTTTACGGATACAGAATAAAATATGAACTCCTTAACATGGTATACTGTATAAGACCTTCACAAACCAGGTCCAGCTGCCATTCCAGCCTTAGCTCTAGCCAGTTCCCTGATAAACCTTATGAGCAACCCATGGTACCATCACTCATGTTATTCCCTTGCCTAGGAATGCGCTCCTCTCTGTCTCTGCCTGGTGAGCTCAAACATACCACAAACATCATCTCCAATTCTGAACTCTTTTCTTGTCTCTGTATTATAGTTCCCACAGTCCTTTATTTATATCTGTACTATCATACTCATTGCACTTTGTTATGATTAGTATATTTTGTATCTATACCTTCTGACAAATAGTAACATACTCCCCAGCATTTAGCACAGTGTTGAAACAGAGCAGGTGCTCAACAGATGTTTATTAAGTTACTCAGTGAATTAGTCAATGAACTGGAGATTTAATAGAGAATATTGCCTAAGACAAAACATTGAGACTCACCAAAGAAATCCTTGTCTTGTGTTAGTGTCAGAAAAAGCTGTGTTTCTTCTAAGCCACCTATTTTTTTCTTATGGGCTTTATGAATTTTATACCTGATTGTTTACCTCTCTAACTACCAGGGAGCTCAGAGCCCATATCTAAGAACCAACAGAACCACCTGAGATGCATTTCTGGGTACTGATCTTACCCTTCTTGTTTTCCCTTCAACTTAATTCCTTCAGTCATTTATTCTTTTTGTAGTTTAAGGTTTTAGAAGTCATCCATCCTAAGCTCTTTGTGGAATTAAATAAGAGGAAATACAGACCGAAAGAAATCAATAAACCCATCAACCACTATTTTAAACTCTCCTTATATGACCTGGTATCCACTCCCTTTGCCCTCCTGCACCCCAGAGCCAGGGCTTGGGTGAGACAAGTAAGGAAGGTATGGAGGGTACAAAATTTAAGGAAACACTCACTCTTAGGGTTGTGTAAGAGCCACTGTGCATATGCACGATCTTGAGACTGAATGCCTCCTTAAGAAGGAGGCACCTAGGGCATTTGCCCCACCCTTAGAGTGAAAGAGTCCTTAAATTTTGTACCCAAGTCACCTCCCTTGCCTCAACTTGGTCCTGGCCCTGCAGCCCACCATCCATCCCTTCAGGATCTGTGCCCATTTGCCAGGGTCTCCCTGATCTCAGGTTCCCAGCACTGAATGCAGAGATGGGACAGTCCCTCCTGGTTCAAGCTGATGCTCTACTCTTGGGAGACTAATGCTACCCCAACTCTTTTGGCCATCACATTACTCTTGTTGACTCATAAATAGTTTGCTGTCACCTAAACCCCAGGTCCTTTTCACTTGAACTCCAACCAAGTCAGATCTTCCTCATCCCATCCTTCTCTGTTGATTTTGAACCTCCACAGAAGGCTCTTAAAGAAGGCATTCAAGAGCCTAAGGAGTCAGAGCCATAGATGAAATGAGTCAAGGAGATGGGGGAAGAGATAACAGAGTCAGAGAGATGGCAGAGTCAAGGAGATAGAAAGAAGAGAAATGAGGTCCAGAGATAAAAGTTAGAGACAGAGTTGGGGTGGTAGAGTCAAAGGAATAGAGACATCAAGGAAATGGGGGTGAGTTAGGGAGGAGGACCTGAAGCTTGGGGAGCCTGGAGAATCAGAAACCTAGACGAGGTATCAAACAGATAAAGATTAGGAAAAGGAAGAACTCAATACATATAAGGGCTTGGGAAGGAAGAGATCCACCAAGGGCAAAGAGCTGGGGGAGGGTGCTGATATCAAGCAAGAATGCGGAAAACCGGCATAATCAGGGAGGATAAATTAACCAGAAACAAAGCTCTCTGCTAGCCTGGGTTTTCATTTTCACTGGGTCTTGGCTTAAAGAGAGGCGCCATCACTGGCCTCTCTCTGTCTTTCCACTATCCACCTGTCTGTGCGAGGAAGAGCTGGGGGAGGGGAAGAAGGCTGCCACTGCTGCTCTGTTGCCCAAGATACTGGTCCACCCTTGGGCTCAACGAGGTGCTGGTGAAGGGCAGGAGGTATCTCTCTCTCTCTCTCTCTGAGATTCATCAGGATCAGGACACAACAACAAGATGTCTATTCCTTGCAGAGAACATGCTCCTCACCTGGGGATGCAGACAGAGGCCAGGAAGGGTTACAGGAGTGGGATCTGGGCTGGCTGTGAGTTCTGTGTTTCCACAAGAGGTTGGCCGGGGCAGGGTGAGGAGGGTGCACAGGAAAGGACAGTGCCAGGATGATGAAGCTAAACTGAGGGTTTGCAGAGAACTGGAAGAACATCAGCCCAAATTAAATCATGTGGCCCTTGGCCAAGAGTCATCATTCTCAAGAAGAATCCCTTGTAAAGGAGTCAGCTTTGCACTGGCAGCTGGGGTCTGCTCCGTGAGAAGAGAAAGGCACAGAAAAGCCACTTAAGCTGTTTAATACCATTTCTTGGGACCCTGGGCTTTCCCTTAACCAAGCCCAGTGGGGATGGGGGCCTCTGGGGGAGGAGAAAAAGGGAAGGAGGTGTCTGGGGACACAGGGGCGGGGCTAAGAGCAGGAAATGAGTTGGGAACCACCATCACCCTTCCTCCACTGCAGGCACCACAGCCCAGAGCAGAGGACAAAGAGGAAATGACAGATTGGGGTGGGGTGGGGGTGGGGGAAAGAATCGTGCATTTCTCTGGGAGGAGCTCAAAGTACCAAAAACAAGCTGGGCTGGGCAGCCGGGATACCTGTGTTAATTCCAAATAAAATCAATAAATGTTTTTGTGTGTCTACTCCACACTAAGCACAGTCAGGAGCCCGACCTTGTTCCTGGTCCTGCTGGTGTCCAAGACCCCTCCAAGGTAACTCAGGGAGGATGCTAGGCAAGCTACACACACACCCACCCTCTGCTGCCCCCTCTACCCATCTTCACACCAGATCTCAGGCCATCTCTCTTACTCCGCTGGTGTTCCCCATTTTAGCAGCTTCTCTTCTCGCCCACCATTTTGAACCTGTTTCTCCTTTGCTCAGGAAGAACAGGAGACTCACAGAGACTGTAGGGGGGAGCTAACCCCACCCTCCATCCTCACCTGTGGCCCAACAAGGCTGCAGAGGGACCAGAGCCCATGTCTCCCCTAGTGCCATCCTCAGACTCTCCAAGAGCCGTTCTCCGGTCTCCTTTCATTCAAACCCAAGGAGCATCCACTGCCCCTTCAGCCACTCATCTCCTGACTCTGCCCCTTCAGCCCTACTCCCTGTCCCCAGTTGTCATCTTCTCACTACTGTTTCTTCTACCTCTCCTGGGTTTCCAATCTCTCCATCTTCTCCCCTCAGGGCTCTCTCAGTGCTCCCATTTTCATCCCCAGACTCTTTATCCCCAGGTAGTCACACAAGGGAGCTCCCCTGCCCTCTTCACAGAGCCACATTTCCTGCCTGCTTGCTCATCAGCCTCCTGGGTGGTGACCCCAAGCCACTGCCCCTTCTCTGCCCATGAACTCCCAGAAGCTGCTTCTGTACCCTCAGACTCTATCAGGTTGAAGAAGGTCCATGTACCTCCCCATCCACCCAACAGCAGCTCCAGATTGGCCTCCTTACCCTCCTGGCCTGAGTGCTGCAGGTGTTCCTGCAAGTCACACCCGAACACCCGTTCCTTCGAGCTGCCCTTCTTCTTTCCTTTCTGCCGAGACTTCATGGCCGGAGCCCCAGGGCTCTGGCCCAGCCACCTCTGGCCCCCACGACCTTTGCCCTACCAGTCCCCCATGGGATCCCAAGCCAGCCTCTGGGCTTGGCCCGGCCCCAGGGGGCAGGGCTCGGAACTGGGGGTGGAGGGTGGCCTGGGCAACGGGCAGCAGCTCCTGCCGCTGGGGCCCCGGCCGCACGGAAGTTGCTGTGGAAGAGGAAGCTCCCAGGACCCCGGCAAGAAACTGTCTCGTGGCCTGGACTGGCACTCGCCGTTCTCACCCCACTCAGCCCTGGGGTGGGGGGGGCAGGAAGCTGTGCAGCTCCTTAAACCCGCTTCCTGTTAGAGCATCTTTGCAACCACAAGGCTTGGGTGGGGGAGGTAGCTGACATTCACACCCTCACCCATCACTGGGACTTCACTCATTGGTCAAGAGGAGGTGATGTCAGAGCCCTAGGGTAGGGTGTTAGCGCCTGGGGCGTGAACAGGTGACTGACACCCTTGGAGATCAGAATTCTGGGGTCTGGTTGGAGATCCAAGATTTGCCTAGGAGCAAGGAGGCACAGGGCTGTGCAAGGCACTCCGAGGAGGGAGGATGCCCAGGCTCTGGCCCTGACAGGCCTATATGCTCAGTAAGTCACATTACTTCGAAGAGTCTCAGTTTCCACACATATAGAAAAGTGAAGGGAACAGACTTAGTGATCTTTAAATCCTTCCAGTTCTAACATCCTGGGGAACTCATTTGAATTTCGGGTTCTTTGTCTGTAAAAAAGTGTACCCTGCTGGCTACTTCCTGGGCCTGTTGTAGTGAGACTCCAGTACAATACAGGATATAAAATATTGCCCACTAAGGCACTGAAAGGGGCCTTAGCTCCACTATCCTACCTGGAGCCTCTCAGAGATGGCCTAAGAGCTTGCGGAGGCCATTTCGTTCCCCGTCCCCCCCACCCCCAGCTCCAGGCATCCTAACTCCTCCCCTACCTGGAACCACAGGGAGAAGGGTGCAGAGACAGGGACGGCAGAGGTTCAGGACTTACACAGTTTACGGAGCAAGACAAGAACCAGAAAGAACAGGTTTTCTCTGTTTATTTAAAAACAGAATCATTTTATGTACAAATATGCACATATTTACAGAACATGTACACACTAGAAATTCCATATCTTCAGGTTCCACATCCAAAGTCCTGGGCTGGCTGGGGAGCAGGGGATGAGAGTCTCTCTTTTGGTCCAGAAATCTAGCAGATTTCAGGCCAAGCAGGGTTTGGGCACTAAATCTAGGTATTCTGGTTGAATATATTCGGGTGGGCCGGGCAAAAATAGACCTTATCTAACCCCAGCCCCCACTCAGAAAAACTACTGGAAGAGCCCCAAGTTAGTGACCCTAAACCCCTGGGGGAAAGGAGACATTCTCACGCCCCAGCAGCTCCTTCACCTCACCTGAACTCCCACCCTCCCTTGGTCTATAACCACTATTCTCTCTCCCCTACACCAGAACTGAACCAGGAGCCCTTGTCACCAAGTCCCAGCAACTCCCCCCACCAAGGGACCACAAACAACTGTGGATACAACTAGGAAAACATGAGGCCAGGGAAAGAGCCGAGGAGACACTAGGGCTTGTCCTCCGGTAGCCAGTAACTGCTAGGCGCACACCCTTTCTTCAAACTCCATCAGCTCTCAGGCTCCCTCCCAAAAGGCTGCTGGATTAAGGTGCCATAGAGGGAGCACCTTTCAGAACCACAGGAATTAACCCCTGGGGGTAGGGCCTGAGCAAGGTCTAGCTCTGCTGAATTCCTGTGTAGGCTGATGTCACTTTCAGCAATCCTTGTGATAATAAACATCTAGATCAATCAAATGCTTTTTTAAAGTCTTTTCTCTTATGAATGGGTCTGGAGCAGTATTCCTTAAAGCAGCTCCCCTGTGCAGGTTTATTTACAGAAAATATGTACATGCAGCAGGTCTAGAGGCCACCAGAGGGCAGAGGGCTTCTTCTGTAACAGTTTGAGCCTCTAGCCGACCCCTAGGCCCTGTGCTTCACACTTGCCCCGATGGCTCCCAAGTGGTGGGAGCCCGGCTCCCCCACTCAGACGGCCAGATTCCAGCTCCAGCTATGCCCGCACACCTGGATCTGGCCCACAGTCTCCACCTCCCGCCTCCAACCTCTGCATCATTAATACTGCTCTGGGGTCTGAGGAAAACACCTGCATTTTACAGGCAAAGGTCACACAGCCACACAACACACACACCAGTCCCCCATGGCATTCCCCATGCAGCCACCAAATCCTGTGGCACACACACCATGGTTCACTTGGACTCTGACATGACAGCACAGTGCACACCAGGGGCACAGCCACCCCTCCATGCACACGCAGTGAACACTCACACCAGCACAAAGACATACACGGTGACCTGCACACACTGTGGGAGGGACTCAGCAAGGAGAGCCCTACCATCCTTGAACAAAGGGTTGGAGGAAAAGGTAGAGCAGTCAGTGAGTGGGGTGGGGAGCATCTTCCTCAAGAAATAGGGGTTTAGAGAGGCTCCCCCAGGGGTGAGCTGAAATCTTCCATGTCAGCAGAGGAAGCCAGGCTTAGGGGAGGGAGGCAGGCCTGGGTCAGACCAGGTGCCCCCGCCCATTGATGTAGATGCCATTGCCCGTAGGCTTGGCCCGCAGGGTCCCATTCTCCTGAACAAAATGGTTCATGGCCTGTTTGATGCCTTCATCCTGATCTTCCTCCTCCTCTGCCCGCCCAGAGCCTGGAGACAGCAGTTCAGTCTGTGTTTCAATCTCCCTCACCGTGGTCAGCGTGGAGTAACTGCGGCCCTCTGGCTCTTCACTCTGGAGACCAAGAGCAGAGGGCAAGTCAGGCAGCAGGGCAGGGCAGCCAGACATGAGGGGGCCAACTAGGGCACGGTGGGGTCAGAGATCAGGGGCTGGGAGTAAAGGTTAGGCCTGGGGAAGGGGAGTCTAGAGAACAAAGGTGAAGCTGGGGTGTGGGACGGGGCTGGGCAGTGTGAGCCTGAGTGCGAGCGACTGGCAAGGGGGCTGCCGACGCACTACATCTGGGACCAGGAGAGGGGCCTGAGGAAAGTGGTGGGGAAACCGGTGGGGCCGGCCGGGGGCCTCACCATCACAGAGCAGCTACTGTTGTCCTTGAGACTATCAGGGTGGCCCTCGGCTCTCAGCCCTACACTCTCCTCCGGCTGCAGGGCCCGGACATGGAGGAGGAGTCAGAACAGGGCTCAGCCTCCTTTCCTCAGCCTCTTTCCCCCAGCCCCTTGTATCCATTCTCTCCTTGATATAAACATCCTCATTCCCCCACCCCGACCTTAATCCCACCCTGAAACCAGTGCTAAGGGTGGCTGCCCAGAGCAACCCCTAGGCCAGTACTGATGGGGACCTTCTGAAGGAGCCCGGCAGACCCAAAGGCAGCTCTGCCCACCCCACCCCACCCCACCCCAGCTCCACCCACTAGCCGTAGCTAAGAGTCTGTGGCCAGACCCCAAGGAGGCCTTGCTCCTGGTCTGCGGGGAGGCCCCGGGCCCCATGAATGCACCCAACCTTGGCACACACCTGGTTCCTGGGGTCCGAGTGATGGGAATGCAGCCTCCGGATGGAGTTCTCCCTGGTCAGGGTCAGCTCCTCCTCACTGGGAAGACACCCCTTTGTCAGGAGCTGAGGCTAGCGGTAGCCTCCCAAGGTGAACCTAGCCTGGCAGAGCCTGTGTGAGACAGGACTGGAGGGTGTGGGTGCTGAGCTGTCCTGCAAACGTGAGTGAGTGGCTGCAGGTGGCAGTGTGGCCACAGTGCATGTGTGTGCATGGTGCATATGGATCTGAGCCTCACTCAGGCAGTGTGGTTCTCCTCATCCAGCTGTGGGCTAGGCCCCAAGACCCTTCTCACCTCCCCCAGAGACGCGGCCTACCTCTGGTCCACAAGATCCCTAGATGTCAGGCCTCTCAGTCTCCTCTCACTCCTCGGTGCTGGCCCACCTCCTGCCTGTCTCCTCTTTGTTCCCAGCTTAGCTCTCCCAACCCAGGAGTGGCCAGTACTCACTATTTCTGGGTCATCTGCTGGGCCTTGCGCCGATGGTATCGGGACATGAGCACCACCACCACCACCAGAAGGCAGAACAAGAGTGCGGCGATCACACCCACCACCACCACGGAGGCCGACACCAGGTCCACCTGCTTCCCTGGGGTATCCTGAGGGTCTGCTGGAGACAGGCCACTGTCTGAGGCAGATGCCCATATCCCTGACCAGCCCCCAGACCCCACAGCCCCCGAAACACTGTCCTCACAAAACACATCCAAAACCACCCTCCTGGCATGACCCTCTGCAAAATACATGCAGTCCTGTCCCCTCCAGATAAACACTCTCCCAGTTCACTCTCTCCATCTTGCTTCCTGTTGCCCCACCAGGCCCTTAGCCCAGGTCCCAGTCTCTGCCCCAGTGCTTACCAAGAACATCCACAACCACCTGAGAATCCCTCGAGGAGAGCTCATTGCTGACGTGGCAGACGTAGGTGCCACTGTGCTCAGTGGTCAGCGGGGGAAAGCCCAGAGTGTCTCCTTCCACTCGGACCCCACTGGGCAGAGGCCCATCCAGCCTGGAGGACAGGGAAGTTGATGGGTGCCGGCTGGGGCGGGCTGAGGCTGCCACCACCCAACGTGCCCAGGCAGCTCTCTACCTCCCTCCCCCATGACGTCACCCAGAGCCACCGGCTGTTCCCACGGTGCCCCTCCTTCCCCTAGGCAGGTCTAGGCAGAGGTTCTTTCTCCCTGCCGCCCAGTCTGACCCGGGCACCCCCACACACACTGGGGGAAGATCCACACACGTGCCATCCCACATGCTCCCATGGGCATCACATCATCCAGCACTGGGTACCAGGCCTGCATGGTATAAAGTCCACACGACAGGACAGGCCATTCCTCTCTATGCTCAGATGTACTTGGGAAATCTGACTACATGTCCCAACACTCATGATGTTGTATGGCAGAGCACATGAACAGAGCCCCAGGCATAAGGCCACCTGCACGGCCCATCAGCTCACATGTGAGACCGTGACCCATCCCTGGTTGTCTGGACAGCTCAGACCCTGGAAAAGAGCCAAGGAACTGGCAGAGATGGGTGGGTGCTACTGAGGGGCTGACAGCGTGTCAGTGGTTACAGGAGTGTTGGTTTAACAACAGTCATAGTAAGCTGTATCTTTCTGTCTTATCCACTTTAGGCACTTACATAAATATAGAAAGTATTAACATTTAAATACTGTACAATATTTCATAATTTTAAGGTTAGGGAAAAAAGCCAAGGACTTACTAGCTTATTCCCTACCAATTACCACGTATCATACACTCCTTATGAAAGCCAATAATAATGTTTGGTGACCATGCAAATTCTTGTATTGCTTTGAACACATTTATTTGGGGTTCAGAATATAATGTCCCAGCCCATAATGAGTACATGCTGGTCCTGAGAGGGAAGGACCTTGGTCCCAAGCCAGGCCCTTACCGTGTCCAGTTGTAGGAGGGAGGGGGCTGTCCTTCGCTCAAGCACTTGAGCATAGCTCCTTCTCTGCCAACCTGCCACAGCTTTCGGTCTTCAAGGCCCCTTACAGAGGCCTCAGCAAGGACTGGAATGGAGGTGGGAGGAGAAAGAATGGAAAGGATCCCTTTGATCTTGCTTATCCTATGTCCTTGAAGGGCACCCGCCCCAGGCGGCACCCTGCTTGGAAGAGTCTCCCCTGGCCCTTTTCTGTCCTACTCATCTGCAGCCAAACCTAGCCCAGCCCCACCTTGCTGATCGCTCCCTCCCCTCTCTAAGCTCAGAGGGTCCACATTTGTTTACCTGTGCAATAAGTCTATAAGTTCCTCTGCAAAGTAATGTCACACTTTTTCTGAATCCCCTGTGATCTCTAGCATAGTGCTAGTATAGGACAGGTGCTCAGCAAACGCTCCTTGATTCTTCAAAGGCTTAAGCATCCTACTAGTTCACTCATTTCTTTAACAAACATTGTTGAAGACCTACTTTGTGTCAAATGTTGGGTTAGTATGAGTAAAAACAGGCCTATCCCCCAAGAAGCCCAGTCTACCAAGTATCTAGTATCTACTAAGCACCTTCTATGCACCAAACACTGTGCGAGATGTTTTGCCTTTATGGTTTCTAATTCCCATCGGAACCCTGTAAAGTTGATATAATTATACTCCTTCTGCTGATGAAAAAAATGAATCCTAACAAGACTGAATAACAATAGCTGGCCACCAGCAGGACTAGGGCTCACCCCAAGTCTGCCTTCAAATCCTACACTATTTTACAAAATGCTTTCTATTCCATGTTTATATCTGATTCTCCCAACCCTCTGGGCAGAGCAGTCTCCTTTGTAAGCAAGAGGACACGGAAGGCCAGAGAGGTTTAAGTGATTTGCCAGAGTCATCTGGGATGGGCTCCTGGTCTTCTACCTTTGGACTAGTGCTCTTGGCCACACAAGGTGGCCTCCGGGACCCAGGCTGGCCAGACTGGTGTGGCTCAGGGTCTCTCAGTATCTCACCAAACCTCCTGGGACCCATGGGGGCACTCTACTCAAGATCCAAGTACTCACAGGCCACTTGAAGGATGTGGGTGATCCTTTGGTCCTGGAGCAGGCCAGGGTGGGACACCACACAAGTAAGTGGTTGCCCATTCATGCTGCGGCTGGGCACCAGATGGAACTCTGAAGTGACAGCAGCTGAGCGGGAGTGTGTGAAGGAGCGGCTGGATGAAGTGCCCTTGACCTCTGTGTCCCAGGTCACGCTGGGGGCCGGGCTGCCCTCTGCTGTGCAGGAGGCTGCCAGTGTCAGGCCCTGGCCCTCTTCTAGCGCTGGACCAGGATTCAATGAGGGCAGGGGAGGCACTGCAGGTAGGGGGAAGAGGAGTTCATGATCTTTACAACCCTGTCAGGAGGCCCCATCCTACCTCAGCTCAGTCTTGCACAGGTGGAAAGTTTCAGGCCCCTTTTTCATCTTATTTCATCCAACAAAGACACCAGATGAGTGGTAGAATTTCAGCTGACTTTGTACCCTTCTCCATTGTTTGAATTTTTTACAATGTACATGATCATTTTTTAATAAAAATAATGAATTAAAAAACTAACCAGATAACAACTATATAATACTAATAATAACCACCATTTATTAAGTACTTACTATGTGCCAAGTATTGTGCTAAACCTTTAAAAAGTTTATCTCATTTAATTCCGTCAAGAAACACGAACCAGGTATTATTATCCCTATTTTACAGCTGAAGAAACTGAAGCACAGGGAAGTTAAATGATTTGTTCCAGATCATTAGCTATTAAGTGGTGAAGCCAAGATTCACACTCAGGGATTCCTATCAAGCTGGTATTACAAACTTCTGTGTGAATAAAGGGAAACTATAAAGGCCTTTATTTGTATCTTCATGACATTAACAGCCCAAGCACAGGAGGGAAAAGATTTAACTTGACCGTAAATCTACGGCACCTATTGACCACGAGTGCCCACAGTGCAAAGTGGTGGTTTAAAAGACAATCGTGGTCTGCAACTGCATTCACTGAAGGTCCACATCAAGGAAGGTCTTAGCCTCACTGGTCATGCACAGCCACACTATCAGAGCTGGGCCTGTGTCCATGTCTAGGCACCGCATTTTAAAACCATGGAGCCCAAGATGGCAAGGGAGGCTCTGAGTGAGTGTCTTTGGTTAGAACTGTTGCAGAAACTAGTAGATTTAGCTTAGAGAAGAGATTTAAGTGGGGCATGACAAGGGTCCTCAGGTCTTTGAAAAGCTGTTGTGTAGAAGAGAGGTTAAGCCCGTGCCATCTTGCTGGAGAGGGTGAAAGTAACCCAGAGGGAGATTTCAGGTCAGCAGAAGGAAGAACTGCTGTATAGACTCTTCCCCAAGACTGACCAAGCTGGATCAAGCTTTTGAGGTCACCTGGAGAGAATTTCTGGATTAGGTGGGTGGGTGGGCAGGCTGGTGGGCGGATGAGGCTACCTTTCCCCCATAGGACCCCCACCTCTTCTTCCTGTTCTGCCTCTGCCCCATCCGTCTCTGAAGTCCCCATCTCTCCATTCCCCTGCCTCTGGTTTCTTCCTTCCAGGGGCCTGAGGATCTGATGCCTCTGTATACACAGTACTTGTCACGTTGGCACCCCCCCCTCCACCCACCCCCGACTCCACCATCACGCCCACAGCCGGCAGCACTTACCCAGCACGCGGAGCCGAAGCCGTGCCTGGAAGCTGCCGGCAGGGAAGGTACTAACACGACACTCGTATTCGCCCTCGTCAGCCTGCACAGCGTTGCGCAGGAGCACCGCACCGTCCAGAGGGTTCCGTGGGGGCGGCAGCTCTTCCACTCGGCCCTCGTAGGCCGAGCTCACGTGCAGCCCGTATTTGGAGTTCAGCAGCGCCAGCTCCCGGGTGCCCTCGCCCGCATCCACACGAGCCCATGACACCTGCTCCACCTGCTCGCCGGGGTCCCCTCGGTAGAAGCAGGGCAGCTTTGCGTCCTGACCCAGCACCACCGTCACCAGGTCCGAGGTCTCCAGCTCACCTGCCAGGCACTGGCCTGTAGGGGGCAGACAGAAGCAGCCAGGATTGGGGGCGCTGCCAGAGCCAGGGGAACACTTATTTATTCATAATGATAATGACAGCAAAGGCAGCCCAGAACTCCTGGAGCATTTTATGCTTGCAAAGCGCGTTCAGACCATTAACTCATTAGATCCACAAAATGTTCCCAAGAGGAAGGCGTTATTATCGCCATTTAACAGATGAGGAAACTGAGACCCAGAGAGAGGAAGTGACTTGCCTAAGGCCATACAGATGGTGCAGGGAAAAGTCACACCCTCTCCCAGCCCAGGATTGTATCCTGAGCAACTGAAGGTGGGAGGCTATAACAGGAGGAGAGGCCCAGCCTCTGCCCTCAGGGAGTTTAGGGAAATGGATTTTATGCAAGGGTTGGGAACAATTGGTGTCTGGGATAGGGCATGTAGGGGAGGAAGGGTCCATCCCGGTAGGCCCTTCAGAGCATTCTTTTCATGGCTTGAAGATGACAGACCTGGATTCCCATAAAGAAGAAGGTGTTCTATGTGGGAGGAATGGCACGAATGGAGGCTCAGAAGCAGGAACAAGCAAGTCACTGAAATCAGAAAGGCCCCAGGTCAGAGGCCCAGAGAGATGAGGTCAGGACAGACACACAGCAATGGGGTCAGAACCATGAGCCAGAATCAGAGGACAGGAGTTAGGGACCAGAAACAAAGAGTGAGTGTTTTGTACATTGACAAGGAACGGTATGAAGCACTCAGGGTATCTATCGTGGAGACTTATCTGCTAAAAAGGATGCATTTCCTGCACTTACAGAGTCTGAGACCTGGAGACAGATATGGAAATGTGTGTGATGGCTTCTGATTTAGTGCTTAGTGGCGTGTTGCAGGTTAGTTGTGGAATGGGACAGTCACAGTGGTCCTGAGTCATGTGGGAGGGCCTCATGCATGAGTTGGGTAGAACCAGGAGGGGGTGAGACCAGAAAAGGGGTCCCAGATGGGGGACCAAGGTGGGCAAACCCCAAGGAGGCAGAGAGGCTGGCTGGTTCAGGAAGCAAAGAAGAGGGGATACTACTAAGGCAGAGTGGAACATTTGGTTGGAGTAAAATCACCCAGGACCTTCCACGCCAGGCAAAGGAATTCAGATTTGGCCATGAGGAAGGAGGGAGTCACAAAAGCATGAAGCCAGTGGGCATGTGCCCTCTAGCTAGAAAGCAGGGAGACTGGAAACAGGAGACTCACTAAGACGCTGCAGCTACAGCCCTGAGCAGGGCTGCCGGGGTGGAGAGGAGAGGACAGTTCCTGGGGGAAACCCGGCAGGATTTGGTCACTGACCAGAAAGAGAGAGAAAAGACCTGAAGACAGCTCCTAGGTTTCTAGGATGAGTAACTTATGAAGAAGGCAGAGCCAAGGAAGCTGGTGGCTAGGAAGAAAGAAATTTGGAGTTGTGGAACAAATCATGTGAAACACAGGGCTGGGGGCTGAGGGCTGGGTGTGAAGGCTCTCTAGGATGGCAAGGGCTCCTGCCTTGGAATGTTTATACAGCAATTCCCCACAGTTCAAAGCTCCTGCCTCTGGCCAGCACTTCACACAACCTGCTGTCCCTCACCTCGCTCATGTTATGCTCCTGCCTGGAACGCCCTCATCCCTGTGTCTGGTAGCTCCTACTCATCACTGTCTGGATAACTCCTACTCATCCTTGAAGACTCTGCTTATACATCACTTCCTCCTGGAGTCTCCCTCCCCCCACCCCCACCTCAGGCAGGGTTAGGTGCCCTTCCTCTGGTCTCCTCCAGCACTCTGCTTTGACCCATCATAATACTTTATACCATGAGTTGTTTTGCTATTTTCTTGTCTTCCACCAGACTGAGAACCTCAAGAGTAGAAACTGGGTCTCACATCACATATGGAAACATGGTTTCTGGCCTAGTGCTCAGTGGTCTGCATTCCTGGCACATAATTTGTGCTCAGCTAATGTTTACTGACTGAATGAATGAATGAATGAGTGGGTAAATGAATAAATGAGAGAGACAGGCAGAAGAAGGAAGGGGTAGAACAAGGAGGAGTGAGCAGCCTTTGGCTGGGCTGGACAGGTAGGGGGTTGGCTTGTCAACCTTAGGGTGGAGACAGGATAGGCTGCCTAGCTGGGTTCTCTGCCAAAGGGAGCACCTCCAGACTGAACATGGGGAGAAGGGAGGGGATGGAGGGGGATAGGCATGGAGGGAGAAAGTGAAGCCCCACTAGAGTGGACCAGGGGGTTCCAGTGAGGTAGAGCATGGAGCCGAGGAAGGGGATCCCATGGCCCTGCTAGCAGGGGAGGAGGAAGGGAGGATGCTGTTGGGAGCTGGGAGTGCCTGAATAGGATGGGACAGACCTGCAGGGCCAGATACCAGGGCCCTGACCAGCCTAAGCTGATGTTGGTCCCACCCAGCCCAGCCTGGGAGTCCAGCTAACTACCCGCACCCTTCCCAGGCACCTCCTCCTGGCACTGGAAGGAGCAGGGCTGCCAAGGAAGTGTTGGAGGTGGGTTTGAAATAAAGGCTTCTGAGCACATCCTTTGCTTCAAAAACTAGTGTCCATGCAGGCCAGGGAGTCCAAGCCTGCTCTACTGGGGACACTCAAACGCTTCCAAACACTCTTTCCGGGACAATGTCAGGTGACATACTTTCTATCCCCATCCCTACACCTGCCAACCAGGGATTACTGTCCCTTCCCCATCACTAATCATCCACATTTCCCCCCCAAAAAAACACCATCTTAGGGTACAACATACATCAGGTCCCCAGTGTATGCCTGAGTCCAATTCTCCACATCCCTACCTGTGAGTCCAGGATCCACATTATCCCAAGGGATAAGCCCAAGCTTTGCTTTGCAGGATGAGGAACCCAGTAAAACAGGAAAGTCCCTTTGGATCTCACCCACAGCCCCCCATTGTCCTGAATCCACTATTCGTGGGAGCATGTTAGCCTGAGCAACACCTTCCTTCACACACACACACACACACACACACACACAGTTACAAGAGAAGGAAAGGAGAACTTGGGTTCTAGAATCCCTGTCCTGGGCTAAATGGACCCAGAAGCCCAGACACTCAGGATAGGGCAGGCCAGGACTGTCTCCTCCTTTTCTCCCCCACCCAGTGCCCGCCCGGCGTCAGCATGATGATGTCACCAGAGCAAAGGAGACACACCGCCTGCCTGGTGAGGTCACCCTGCGGGCATGTAGTGGCCAGGCCAGGCCAAGCCCACGGACCCTTCTGCTGCAAATTGTTTGCTGAGGCTGGTGGACTCTGTTGGCTGGGCCTCCTCCCTCTGCTTCTCCTCACCCCTCCTTCCCGGAGCACCAGGACGCTGGTCAGGAGCCTTGGTGATTCAGCTGCTGCTGCACAGCAGGCCTAGCCTCAGCCGCCACCAGCCACCACCTTGCGCAAGGGAGAGAACAGGCCCAACTGGCCAGACGGGATCCCTGCCCTTGGCCTCCCCCACCCCTGGCCAGGCCCCCACGGGCCTCTTTGGGGCCCTGCCCTCTATGTACCCCGCCTGCTCCCAGACAGGCCCTCCATTCCTGGCTTGGGCTGGCTGCCTGCTCCCCACCCTGTGCCTGGGTCCCAACCTTCCTATATTTGTGAAGCCTGGACTCTGATCTCAGGAGGGGAAACTGAGGCTGGCAGCTGCAGATAACAGCATCTCTGGGGAAGGAGGCTTTTCTTTCTGAGGGCGCTTTCTCCATCAGCACCCCCTGCTCATATACAGAGGGGTACACGTTGGGATCCTAGAGATGGGTCTGGGGGGAGGAGGAAGGGAGTAAGTGTGAGCCTCTTGTGCCTGAATTTACATCTTTGAGTGAGGGTTTGGGGGTCTCAGTGCTGGTTCACATGCATGAGAGGCTGTCTCGGCAGGAACTTTGGGTGTGTTTTGCACATACATATATTCGTGTCTCATCTTCAAGAGAATGTGTGTGCTTGTCTGCATCCAGAGAGAGCTATGCAACGGCGTGTGTGTGAATGTGCTCCCATAGTAAATATTTTGATGTCAGTTTCTCTTGGCTTCCACATGGCTGTCTGTCTCAGCTGCCTTGGTCAGTGGTGTGTGGCTCTGCGATTTGCTCCTGTACCCGTCTGGAGTGTCGCCCAGGCATCCTTCCCCACCTCACCCCAGACTTGAGGGCAGATTCAGCTCAGGTGGAGGTACCCAGCGATGAGGTCACTGTCCCTCCAGGTAATGGGAAATTGCTATCAAGGACTCCCCAACAGAACAAAACAAAGCTCTCTCTACCCTTGCTCCTCAGGTTCCTCCTAGAAGGACCCCCCGCCCTTCTCACCCCACAGCCAAGCCCCCAGGCCCCCCAGCACCTCTGGCCCCCCAAGAAGGCCTCTCCCTGGGAATCTCTGTCAGGCCTCCAGCTGCTTCCACCACCAGAAAAACCAGCTCTAGCTCCAGGCCTGGGGTGAGGGTTGTCTGGTGGAGGTTCGGTGGGAAGTAGAGGAGGGGGGCGGATCCTGCCTGGGGCTGGGGGAGGGGTCCCAGCTCTCTAGGGTCTCATTCTCCTCTGTTAACTCTTGCCTCCCCTCACCCTACGGCAGCAGCCTCCACCAGAGAAAGCTGGACTATGTGGGTGAGTTTGGGGAAAGAAAAGACCTGGAAAGGGACCCCTGAAGCCCACTACTCAGGACAGGTGACATAAACAACTCAGCACTTTTTTTTCCATCCTTCCCCCCATGACCTTGGCCTTGGAGTGCCAAAGAACTTTGAAAACCAGCAGATTCTCCTTCTGCCTTCATCCACCTCACTCACTTACCCCCCATTGTCCTAAGCCCCCCAGCTTAGCAAGAGCTTCCCAACCTGGGCAAAGCGCCCACCACAGATTAGTGTCTGGGGAGGGGGGCCACATCAATCACAAAGGGAGGTGAGAACAATGGAGGAGGACAGGCCTTGAGGCAGCCCCGGCTCTGGCCCAGACACAGCTCCCAGCACAGATAAGTCCCCTAAACCCCCCGGAGCCAGAGTCTGAGCCTGGCTGAGTCACCACAACAGCCACACTGTGGGTGGGAGACCCAGAATTCAGCTTCTCCCAAACTCCTGAGATCTTAACCCCACCTCCCCAATCCTGCCAGCCAACAATCCCCCCACCAGCCCCACCCCACCCCACCCCACCCCAAATCACAGCCTCAATCCACTCTCAGGACACACCAGTTTTAAAGGCAAGGTGGGAGGGGGATGGCCTGAAATCTCTGAGGCTAGAAGTCTCTTGTCCCAGTGAAAGAGTGATCCCGACCACCTCTTGCATGGCCCTCCTCAGGGAGGCCTGGTGGCTAGCCTTGGGTTCTGAACTTGACCTGTGTATTTTAGATTCGGTCCCCAGATTCAGCCCCTAGGCTCCTCTCCTCCCTTTCCTCCTGACTCAGCTCCCCACCCTACCCCCATCCCTTCTCTCTGCCTTGATTTTGGTCAGCACAGGGCAAGTTTGGGAGGCCAGAAAGCCCAGGCATTCTCTCCTCACTAGGCTTGCTCCCTACAGTGGCTAGCCCCCCTTCATTTTGCCTGGAGGACCCCAGGATCCCAAGGCTGCACTCTAGAGCTGGGATTGTAGACTCCACTATGAGCCCCTCACTGCCATCTCTGTGGCTGGGGTCCCCTGAACCCAGCTCCCTGAAACACTGGGGTGAGACCAAGGTCACTGGGGCCGCTGGGTTTCCCTGGGATTCTCCTAGTTCTCCCCACCTTGGGCGGGGAAGCCAGCTTCTCTTTCTGGCTTCCCTGGGTTTGGGTAAGTCCTACAGGAAAGGGCCTGCCCCCCTCTGTAAACAGGAGTAGAAAAACAGGGATGGAGCCCCTCCCTTTCTAGGAAACTAACTTCAGACAGAAGGCTGGTCCTAACCCTCAGAAGACAGACCTCAGAATTCAGAGAACCCCGTGCCCTCTGGTCCTGCAGGACCTAGTTGGGCCCAAGTAAAGGTCAAGGAACTAGGATCTTATTGGAGGGGTAACTGTAGATTTGGGCCCTCAGCCCCAGGGCAGGAGATGGGGAGGGAGAAGGGAGGGGACCTCACCCGGAAACTCATCCCATTAAAGAGAGACAAAGAGCTGTGGTGTGGAGGTGCCTCCCCAGCCTGGGCTCCTCTCTCTGTCAGGGGTGGGGCAGAGCCCTGGGGCTCAGAGCTCTAATGGCCCAGGACTTGGTGGGGGCACTAATTTGCAGTGCAGGGGCAGGAGGCAGTATCCAGGGTAAAGCTACCCTTGGTCCCACTGAGAGATGGGGTCAGGACCTTTCCTCTTCTGTCACCACAGCGAGACTGACAGCCTCTTCCAGCACCCAGCACCCAGCACCCAGCACCCACCTTCAGTCAGGGGCCAGACATTCACACAGCCACAAGATTTCAGAGCTAGAAGGCTGATAATGATCATCTGTTCTTACCTCTTGGTCTACTGAAGTCTGCTTTCTTAGTTGCCCAAGGTCACATAGCAAATTAATTACAGAAATAGGGCCAGAATCCAAGACTCCTGACTTCCCAGTCCAAGGCTTTTTCAGAGACAAGAAACACTTCAGCTTCCTGGAGGCACTGAGGAGATGCCTACACACAGAGGAGCCAGGATTGGGGTGGCAGTAAGGTGGGCCCATCTGATCCTTGGGCTGGGAACCTGGGGTCTGAGTGCCAGTCCTCAGAGCACCCTCCAGCTCTGTGAAGGTGGTAGAAGCAGCAAGGTGTGTCTCCATGGGCATTAGCCTCCCGGGGCAATCCTGGAGCCAGGCTGCTTCCCTAGCCACAGTACCTGTCCATCAGGCACTGGGCAAGGTTGGGGTGACGCCTTAACTAGAAGGGGTCTCCTCTCCCCTTCCCTGGGCTTCTCTTAGAAAGAACAGCTTCGTGTCATGGAGAGAGAAGACAGGGATCATGTCTCGTTCACCACTGCATCTCCAGCATCTAGTGCCCTGGCTATACGCAGCCTGCACTCAGATGTAGTATTATTTAATGAACTAGGAGACCAGGACACCAACCCCCGTTATGCTTCTAATGCTGAGAAATCTAGAGATCTCACTTGCCTATCTGTTTCTTTTAGTTTTCCCATCTGTAAAATGAGGGAAATTGGAGCGGTGATCTCTTTGATCCCTTCCAAGTCCTGAGACATCATGGCTCCATTCTTTAGGTGTGGGTAGATCACACAGGAAAGTGACTGCCGAGTTCCCTGGCCCCAGCAACCAGGCCCCACCCTCTTGGCCTAAACAAGTGAAAAGTGTTGTCTGGAAGATGGGAATTAAGATGTGGGGGGAATGGGGGATGGCAGGGGTTGGAGTTCAATATCCTGCGATTGGAGGCTGGGCCAAAGACCCTTCCATTATGAGATCAGAGCAAAAGCACCTCCCCACCTATCCGCACATCTGAGTCTCACTCTCTCCCTGACAACTTCAGCTGGGGATGGAGGTTGAGGAAATCACTGCTGGGCCCTGCTGGACCCTGCTGGACAACTGAGGCTTCATCACTACTGCTCCTGGGACTGGGAATCAAACTGCCCAAAGTAGATAAGGCCCTGTCTTTTCAAGGAGAAAGATTTCTCGGTTACCCATTACCCTGGGAAGAGCCTATGGAATCCAACCGTGGTCTCATTGTGCACACACACTTTACACACACACTTACACACACACATATTCTTTCTTCCACTCTGAAGATTATAAATTCCTATAATTTATAGCTGCTAAACATACATTAGAAAGGAGTAATACAAAGCAGCTAGTTGAGAAAATGGGGAGATAAACAAAAGGGAACCACACCCTATCTAGAAGGTGCCCTGCCCCAACCCCCTACTCATCTAAGTAACCACCTTGTTCCTACCCTGACACCTCACAGTGTACCCAGGGAAAGAGGGGGCCAGAATAAGAAAAGCTTCCAGCTCCCCTGTAGTCCCCCAACAGGTGCCTCAGTCCTGATATCCTAGGACCTGGAGAGAGGAGAAGGTGACAGAAAGACCCTGTCACCTCTCTGGGCATCACCCTGATGACTGTGGAAACCAGCTCAGCCCTGAGTCAGCCCCAGCCCCAGTCAGCAATTCTGGAGCCCAGAGGGGTAGGTGAGGGAACCTCCAGGACACCCTGAGGTGAAAGGGTCCCCACCAGTTTTACCTCCCTGCCCACCTGCACTGAGTCACCATACCTCTTCCCCCAGAGGCAGCTCCGGCCCAGGCAAGGCCTGGGCTAAGGTGGTTGGAGACCCCAGACATAGTGACCTGGCCTGGGGCTGGAAGGGGACAGGGGACTTGAGGCAGAAGAGCTACAGTGGCTCTTCTGGGGGCACTACTGGCAGCTGGAGGTGGGAGGGAGAAATTGGTTCCTCAGTCCAGAGTCACAGGAAAGAGAATGTGTATGTGTTCGTGCGTGCATGTGTATGTGCTCATGTGTGTGTGTCTGTGTCAGCCTGAGCTTCAAAGCAAGTATCCTGAAGCAAGTCCTACCTGTAAATGATGCCAGGAGCAGCAGCAGCAGCCAGGCCTCAGGCCCCGACATCTCGGCTCCCAGGGACAGAGGCATTGGTCGAAAGGCACAGCCGCCCAGTGTTTCTGAAGTTGCACCGAGTTCTCCCTGGGAGCCGGCTCTAGAGCTGGGTAGGGCACCAGCCCAAAAGGCAGGAAGTCACGGAGTCCTCAGGCACGGCCGCACCTGCCTATCCCACTGGGGTCTCCGCTAGGGGACCCGGCCCCGTTCCGCCCACCCAGCTGAAGCTACCCCCAAGAAGCCGTGATCGGGAGCTCAGAGCTCCCCCAGAGCGGCTTCCCACGCTGTGGCCAACAACGACGGCAGAAACTTGGGAACCTGCTCAGCAGGTCAGAACAGGTGCGTCTCTGGGGGCCGGGCCTGGCACTGGGACTCGGCAGCCACCGCCCCCACGGCCTGGGCTGGCTAATGGGCGCCAGGGAGGGAGGGAAGGAGGGAAAGACCCAGGGGGTGGGATCCCATCGTCAGCTTCAGGCTTTACCTGGCCGTGTGTGGAAGGGGCTGTGACAGGGAGAGGCAAGGGGGGTGGGGGAGGGGTAGGAGAAGGCCCAGGGTGGCTCAAAGAGGGAGGCACCAGGCCAGGAGGAACAGGGGCAAGGCCCTTGTGGGTGGAAAGGAACCCAAGCATCCCACACCCCAGCCAGCCTTGCTGCCTTCCCGGGGCCTTGCCAAGTTCCCCGATCTCCTGGAGGGGTTCAGCTTTGGAGCCACAGAGTCAGAGAAGGCCAGAACTGAGGATAGTACTGGCCCAAACACCTCATCCATCAGATGAGAAAACAGAGGCTCAGAGTGGGGAATGGGCTTGCTGGAGGACACACAACTTTGGTAGTGTCACGGTTTGCCCAGAGAGCTCTATACCTGAGGCACAGGGTTAGTTCAAAGACCCCTGAGAAGGAGCTTGAGTGACCCCCTCCCCAACACACCTCCTTCTTATAGGAGACGCAGAGGGACTGACTGAGGAATTAGCCACACAGATTCCTGGCCTCCCTAGCAGGGCCCTCCCTCAGTGTCAACACCTTCTTATTACTGGCCAGGAGTCTCAAAAGTGCACCAGCGCTACTTGAATGGAAAGGGGTTCCTTTCCGTCACCTCCATGGTCATTTTATCCATTTATCCATGGCCATTGGACAAAGCCACATGTCTGGACTTTGCAAGGAAAATCTTGATTTCTATAGGTGTATTCACACTCTCAAAACCTCCTGTTTCCGTGTTGGATGCATGTACTGTAAGCACCAAGTTACACAAAATCTTACTGGCCTATCTGGGATAGCCAGAGGAGGGGGCAGACTCTGGACTCCCTAAAAACTGAAGGAAGGGAAGGGGCAAAGTCACTGACAGACTGGGACTAAAAAAATTATATACAGGAAGACACGAGAGAAGAAAAAATATATGTGGGTTAAAATCTTGCAACAAGATCCTTTGGAGAGGGGCAGGAAGGAGGAGTCAAGAACAGTAAGGAGAGGAGGGTCATTTCACGTAGAGTATTTTCTACACAGACTCCCCCTCCCAACTCTACCTGTCAAAATCTTACTCATCTTTCAAAGCTGACCTCAAATGCCACATCTTCCATGAAGCCTTCTCAGCTCCTCCCCCCTAAAATTAATCTTTCTCCCTTCTGTTCTTCCTCGGCCTCTCCTAGTCCCTTTATTATAGCTTGTGTCCTCATAATTTGTGCACATCTTATCTCCTTAACTAAATTGTATGCTTCAATTCAAGAAACATCGATTGAAGCCTGCTGTGTGCCAAGGATTCTGTAAATGTGTTAAAAGGAGGGGCAGGCTGAGAGCTGTGCTCTGTGAACTCCTTGAAAGTCAGGCTTGTTTTTCAATCTTGTCTCCACCATCCGTGCTAGGACAGTCCACAGCACTTAATGAGAACTGAATACATTTCGTCCAAGGCCTGAAGTTATGAACGGAAAAGGTGGTCAGGTGGGATCAGTGAAGCAGAGATCCTGACTCTCCTGAAACTGGTTAGTGACCTGGACTTTAATCCTGCCTCTGGACCTGGACCCCAGCTCTGGCTCCAGATCCTAGATCTCAGCAGTGTACACGGCAGTGACCCCTTCTTCAAGGGCTAGTTCCCACGGGTCAGGGGTAGCCTAGGGGCCAGGCTGAATGCCAAAGCTCTGGTTTCTCTCCACCTCCACCTTGGTGAACCCCTTCCCCTCTTCAGGACCCACATCCCCACCTGTGCCAGGGGAGCAGCCCCACCCCGATGCTTCTTTGAGATCCACTGTGGCAGGGGTGGGGTAGAGCCGGGGGGAAAGGGAGGAGGAGCATCCTGTGTTATAATTATAATTATCACACCTTGGATCCTATCGCATGATTTCAGAGGAGCTCCTTTCCTTCCCACGGATTTACCCCTCCTGATCCAGGAAACCACAGGAGAAACTGAGGCACGGTGGTGGGAAAGCAGTTAGCTCATGTGGTGGATACCCAGCCTCTATTTCCCCTTCAGCCTTTCCACTCACAAGACACCACCACACCTCCACAGTGCCACCAGTCAGGAAGTCTGTGAGCCTCTGGTTGGGACCCTCAATCATTCACTTCTAATTCCAGCCATAAGGAACACCAGAGGGAGGCTGGAATTTCCAGAAATGTTAAGGCCAGGACGTATCTGATATTTTTTCAGGGGTATGTTCATGTCTTAGTAAACACCAAAGGTGGCCTTCAAGGAAGGGTTAGGGGCATCACTGTGCCTGAAAGGGAACACTTGGGCCTGGCAGTCACTCCAGACCTCTGCCTGAAGTAGAGATCTTTTACCCCTCATCTAACAAGTATCTGTCTCCAAGCCCCCTGCCCTCTTGTGCCCTCAACCCTGTATATCCGACAAGGGCCATGCTCTTAGGGAACACATACTCATTCATTCTTAGGCCCTTCCTTTCCTCTTCTGGGATGACGCCCATGGAAGAAGGCAAATTCCAATGCTGGGGCTGAAAGAAAACATTGGTCAGGAAAGACTTTCCAGACCAGCGCCTGGTCTCCTGGGTTCTGTTCTTTCTTTCTCATTGAACCCCCATTCCCCTCATGCCTCACTACCTACCTCCCCCACCCACATTCTGGGACCTAAGAATGGGAACAATTCAAGTCAAGGTGGCATCTTTAGCAGGTATATTGTCTGAGTGGCATCACTGCGTGCACGCCTGCATGCCTGAGTTCATTCGACAGATATTTAGTGAGCACCACTTCGTGCCAGGCTCCAGGGAGAGGACAAAGACATAACACGTGGTCCCTGCCCTCAAGGAGCCCTCAGTTAGGAGAGACAGACACGTAAACAGCTGTAATAGTGTATATCCCTCCATTATGTGTTCCCTCCGTGTCTCTGTGTCCATACTTGGGGCCGTCTCTGTGTGTATAACTGCTGATGTTCATTACCTGCGTGTGTCCAAGCATCCGCTTGTAACCTGTGTCTGTCCCCATGGCAGGCTGCACACCTAAGCCAAACCGGTTGGAGTGGGTTGTGCTGAAATTTTTGTTTGTGTCAGTGGGGCTTGGAGGTGAGTCAGGGAGGGACAAGGATGGGTGGGGTGGTGTGGGGGAGAAGAATAGTGAGAGTGAGGGTCAGATTGAGTGAGCAGGGAAAGGAAGGAGTGGGTCAAGCTGGGAAGGGTTGGGGGCAGGTATCAGAAAGATGGGTTGGGGGAAGGAGAGAGCTTCTTAGTGAGTAATATCCTGTTTGTCTGTGGTGAGAGCCCAGGTCAAAGAGTCAAAAGCTGGCAGGGAGACCCTTGGGCTTTGGGAGAGTCGAGAGTGGATAATAAATCAGAGTGGAACTAGTTGGAAGCCTGGGTGTGGACAAAATGTCTGCAATCCCTTTCTAAATGGCTTTGTTTCTCTGTGATATTAAGCTATTCCTGGTCTGCTCACTGCCTTGGTTTCTGTAGTTTGCACAGAGAGGTGTTGTGGGCTGACTGACATTATAGTGGAAGATTACTGGTAGGGAACTGGACTCCCTCCCCCAGGACCAAGGTTATTTTAGATAGAAGCTTCAAAGTCTCTCCTCCTGCTCCTCCCTAGGATGCTCCTCATCCACGGAATGGTGGGGAGAGACCCTCATACAGAAAACAGGGGCTCCAGCAGTTTTTCCTCCAGTGGAAAACACCTTTGCTCCCCTCCAACTGGAGCTTCACTGTGCCCAGTATGAGGATGGTGGTGTCTTGCTTTCCAAGATTCCACCTAGACATTACCATGTGCTGTGTGCCATACTGTTCCTATCTGCCTATCCTGCAGACCCATGGATCCCCAGTATCCAGCCCCATCCCTTAATGACAGCCACACTTCCTCGGGGCCTAACAATATCCCTTGGAGCTCAGGGGATTGGATTTGCTTGTCCTTAAAGAGCCCTAAAGCTGAAGTGAGGAAGTAGCTGAACATAAGGCATATTTGGGCCTTGTTTCTCAGAAGGCCATTGAGTACAGAGCCCCCCTCCTTGCTCTCACCCCATGAACTCCCCAAGCTTCTGTAAATACATAATCACAAGATCAGGGACCAGGGCGTGGGTTAAAAGAGAGACACGTTTATTCTTTGACCCTGTGTCTCTGGGTGGAATAGCACTTTTAGAAGGCTGGAAGTAGGTCCTGGCTAATGCAGGACAAGAGCAGAAGCCCTTGTGGAAGTCACAGTCTTCCACGTGGTAGCAACAGCAGTAGGAGGGGCAGTGGTAATGGGGAGGTAAGAGCAACAATTAGGCGGGGTCCTAGGACACAGAATGTATTCTAGGAAGAACCCAAACTATGCTCCCCTGCATTCTCCCCATCCCTGTCCCCACCCCCATCCTCAGAAAGAGCCAGGCTCCTCCCACGGAGCCCACCTGTCAGGGAACATGTAGGCAGCCCCCAGGGGCCAGCTCAGGCTGCAGGACCTGCGCCACCAGGGCATCTTCAGGTAACACCAGGCCTCTGTAGCCTCTCACTCATGTCCCCAAGTATCCACCTTAGAGGCTGAAAGTGTGGTTCCTCTCTGAACCAAAGACTGACACTTCCTGGCCATCAGCCTGGGCTCCTGCCACCACCCAACTTAGCTTCCCTGGGGGAAAGCCTCCTGAGGCCCTTCAGTCAAGCATCACCTTCAGACCAGGCACCGGGGCTGGCAGGACAGCTGCAGAAAAGAACATGCGGGAAGAATAAGAAGAAAGACACCATGAGACCCAGGGGGGAAAGAGTGGGGAAGATTGTGAGGGGAGAGGGCAAGTGTTGAAAGGACCCTGAGGGAAGACGTTGAAGGAGAGGGGCAGAAGCAGAGAGGACACAAGTGGGAGGTGGGAATCAGGGGGACTAGTAGGATCAGGGGGTTCTTGTAACTGGAAGGTAGATTTTCCTTTTGCAGTTTGTTAGCATAGTCCTCCTCCTGTATGAT